AGGCTCCCTTGACAATCCTTCCACACCGGCCTTCACATCCAGGTGCTCACACGGGTTTGCACACTTCACACTTACGTGGCAGCCTGCTAGGTGAAAGGTAAATGCCTCTTGCAATTTTTATTCCGTCATTCAATAACTTGACAAATCTTCATTGAGTGCTCACTATAGTCATGGCCCTGGTCTAGAAATTTGGGATACAGCAAAAACCAAAAGAGACAAAAGCTCCCGTCCTGAGCAGATGCTCTCCGGGGCAACAGTCTGTAACCAAGCTTGTCATTTAGCAGGAGAAATACAGTGGGAAGGACAGGGCAGCAGCTGGAGCAAGTGCTCTTTCACACAGGGTGGACAGGGAGACCTCAGGAGGGCATGACATTGGGGTGAAGGCCTGGTGGAGGTGCGGGGAGCTCCCGCAGGAGCTGAGGGAGAGCTGTGGGCATATGGAGGGGTGGTGAGAGGAGAGGTGACCTCAGCCCTTCCTACTGGGGCTCAGGGGTCACTGGAGGGAGCTGGGCTTTGGTCTAAGCTAGGCACCAGCTGCTGGAGGGCTCTGAGCATAAGAGTGACTGATCTGAGCGGGAGGTGGGAAGGAGTTGGTGCCTTGGTCATCAGAAGGGCTGGCAGAGAACAGGGGAAGGGACACAATCTGGGACACAGGTCCACTGATGGGCTAGATGGACTAGATGTGGGGTGTGAGGCAGGAGAGAGGCGCCAGGGCAATGTCCACAGTGTGATGGGGGTAACCGGAATGGTGGAGCTGCCGGTTAGTGGGGGTTAGGAGAGACAAGTTCGACAGGCTCTGGAGTTCTGGCAGCTGCCCGTGGCATCGACGACATTCACCCCAGCCCGACGGCAATGCACGCCCTCAGCACAGCACCATCGTGGCACCATCCCACCCTCATAGGAAGAGCTTCACTCATCTTGTGAATTCTAGGGACCACAGCACCAGGGTCATGTGAGAAGCCCATTAGAAACGCAAGTTCTGAAGGTCTACACAGACCCACCAAGTCCCACTCTGTGGCTCATCCCAGGGACCCGAGCTTGTGCCAGGTGGTGCTGATACGTGTTCACAAGCCTCCTGCTTCTGACCCAGGGCCACTCACAATGCAGAGAACCAATTTCATCTGACCAGTTTGCAGCTCCTGGGGTGGGAAGCACATCAGAGATACCCTCTCAGTCACTCCTTGCCACCTGGGAAGCACAGCTCTGTGCTTGGAGACCCCCATGGGCTCCCACCCACAAGGATGCAGCATGAAGGCGCTGAGGGAAGGCCAGGAGGAAGCACACCAGCCAAGTTCCTTCCTGGTGGGCGGGGGACGAAGAGGCCGGCCTAGAAACAGATCACACACGCAGCAGCTACTTAGCAAGGGCAGGGTAAGGCAGACTGCACTGTGGGACTTCTTGAATCTCCCTGGGAGCCGCCTTTAGATTCAAAGTTGCTGAACTTCTTGAAGGCTGGAATCAAGGCCTGGATCCCAGCTGGACGGGCAGTGCAATCAACACTCCCAAAGAGGAGTGGCACTTTCTCTTTTTAGTGGTCTTTTTTGTGCCCTTTACATCAGAATTTTGAGTGTATTCTCACTTCTCTCTATTCTGGCAAAAGGTATCTCCATTTTACAGATGAGAAAACTGAGGCCCACCAAAATTACATAATCATCTGACTTTAAATTTCCTGCTCCTTCCAAGACTCCCGCAGTACTCAGGGTCGGGAGGCATCAGGGTTACCAGGGGCTGAATGAGGCAGGTTCTGGTTCAGAAGGTAGAGAAGGGGCATGGGAACCAGTGCTTTTAACCAGGGCCCAGGTAAGCGAGGAAGGTGGACAAGTGTCCACACTGAGAAATATAGTCTGTCTTCCACGGCCACCACTCTGCTGATCTTTCCCGCCCAGGACCCAGGCTCTGCCAGGAAGCTCCTGACACAGAGACTCAAAAATGATCGATCAGGAGACAAGTCTGCTGGCATCTGGGGCACACAGGAACGGAAGAGGCTGGCCAGTTTTGAGCTTGCTTTGTCAGAGATTTGTTAACTCAGGATTGGTAGTTAAAGGATTCTTAGCATGAAGAAATTTCACCCCCTTTTTTCCATTTATTGCTTTTTTTACTCTTCTACCCTTAATAGAAAGAAAAATGGGGTGGGAGTACAGGAGAGGAAAGAAACAAGGCCCTGCCAGAGTGCTCGAGATTTGTTCTAATTGGGAGTTTTTAACAGAAATGGAAAATTCTCCTCTGCTCTTGTTCTCACCCATCCTTCAGTCTTCATTTTCCCAGAGCACGTGAGCACTCGTGTGCAGCCCTGGCCTGCCTGCCGTCCCCCGCGGGGAAAGGGGTCCAGCCAGCCACTGGGAGGCTCTGTGGGGTACACCAGGTTCATTCATCACAGGGGAGCTGGAGCAACTTCTAACAACTTTCACTGCCACCTCAAGAAAAACAACCAATCCCAGGACTCTGGGAGGCGGAGGCAGGAGGATCCCTTGAGCTCAGGAGTTTGAGGTTGTTGTGAGCTAGGCTGATGCCACGGCACTCTAGCCTGGGCAACCGAGTGGACTCAGTCTCAAAACAAAAACAAACCCCCAAAGACCATATTTTCTCTCCAGGACAATTTTTCTTCTTCTTTCTTTTCTTTTCTCCTCCTCCTGCCTCCCTTTTTTTTTTTTTTTTTTTTTTTTATCTAGAGACAAAGTCCATTCTGCTGCCCAGGTTAGAAGTACAGTGGTGTCAGCCTAGCTCACAGCAACCTCAGACTCCTGAGCTCACACGATCTTCCTCCTCAGGCTCCCCATAGGGTTAGGATTATAGGCATGAGCCACCACGTCCAACTTTATAAAGCAGTGGCTCACTTTCCCCTCCAGTTTTCATGTTTAATGTTGAGGGGGGCTGCACAGTGATCAGGACCCAGGCTTGGCTGTCATGGCACTCCTACCTGTTAGTAGAAGCCTGTTAGTGCCATGACAGCCAAGCCTGGGTCCTGATCACTGTGCACCCCCCATGGGGCTCCTACCAGGGATCTTTTTATGCAGATGTCTTCACAGGTATGGGGGGATCCCCCGTTCATCCTCAGCCCTGGAGGGCTCCTATGCCTGGAAGACTGGGGGTCAGCACACCCTATTCAGATTCACTCCAGGAAGGAAGCCTAGTGAGCAACATGAGGCTTCTGGGAGCCAGGTGTCCCCTCCTCCTAACTGACAGGCAGACCGAGGTTAAACTAACCTGCTCAGAGCCCCTCCTCCGCCAGCTCAGCCCCTCTCAGACCCTGCCCATCTACCTCATGCCTTGCTACTCACAACGCAGGCAGTCCCTGGTCCAGGGCAGCTGGCACCCTCACCGCCTTGTCACACTTTCTCTCTCTGCTTCTCTCTCCCATCCCACCTCTGCACCTCCTCTCCTGCCACTCCTCAGTGCAGAATGCTGTCCAAGCTTCTCTCTGGTCTCAATTCCAACACCAACCCCAAGGCCTGGCTCCAGCCCCTCCTCCACTCTCGGAGAGCGCCCTTGGCTGTGTCACCTTACGGCTTTCTCTAAATCTATCGTGGCTTTGATGCAGTCATGGTCTGCCTCTTACTAGCAAGTCAGTAGGTATTCCCAGGCTTCCTTCTGTCTTTGTGAGGTAGGAGGGATACTCGGTATGTACCGCATGGGGAAATTCTGATGACACGACCCAAAGCCAGGTTCCCAGTCGGAGCCGCAGGACACTCTGAGTGAGTGTGAGCAATCACTTGCGCTGGCACCTAGTTCGGTGCAGGCAGGTGCCCAGGTAACTTTCTGGCTTAATGACAAAACCAGGTCCCTGGAAGAGCCAGACCCCCGACATAAGACGGGTACACGTGCCTTGTACTGCTGGTTCTGGGACCCGAGCAAACAGAACTAGAGTGTGACTCGGATTCTCCAGCCTGGTGTAGAGATCATCTGGAAAGAATCCAGGCTTGTTTATGTACTTATTCTCCTTTAGAGAGGGGTCTCACTATGATGTCCAAGCTGGTCTCAAACCCCTGGGCTCAAGCCATCCTCCCTCCTCAGCCTCAGTAGTAGCTGGATTGAAGCATGAGAGACACTGTGCTAAGTAAAGAATCCAGGTATCTGACTGAAAAGAGAAGGCTGTAAAAAGAGTCCCTGAGGGGAGAAAAAACAAGAGGAGAAATATTTGGGGGGCCTTTAACTAAATCTTACCGTTTGGGTTTAGCAAGAATTTACTGGGCTTCCCTTCCCCAATCCCAGTTCTCACAAGCACTCAATGAGTTGTGCATTGCCTCTATTTTAGAGCTGAGGGAAGCAAGGGTTGAACGGAGCATCAGTCTTGTTGCAAACAGCATAGCTGAGCTGGGAATCGATCTCAACTCTGTCTGTCATCTAAACCCTGTGCTTTCCATCCCTGGAGGATGCCTCACAGCTGGGTCCCTGGTCCCAGGCAGTGTCCCTGTGACACAGCCATGCCGCCCGCTTCCTACAGTGAGCCACGCCACCCCAGACCTCTGGGGTGCCAATGTTTCATTTGAAAAAAGTTAGTCTCAAAAAAAAAAAAAAAAGAAAGAAAAAGAAAAAAGTTAGTCTCCCCCAGAGTGTTTAACAATAGCATGCTTCTCTACTGCACACATCTCCCGAAATCCCTTTTTTAGAAAAAGCTGAGGATTTTATTCCTCCAAGTCCCAAACCTTCTAGTTAGATGTTTTTTTCCCTTAAATGTCTCAATGTATTAACCAGCTTTTTCATAGGCATTTTGCCATTTCCAAAATGTCAGGAGTGGACTCCATCTAGCCCCAGATAAATACCATAGTTCATGCCCCATGAGGGTTTGGCTGCAGCCTCTGTTCCCTGTGGCCAGCTCCATAAGCCTCCTGAACCGTTTGTTACCCCTGCAGCCCCTTCTTAACTCTTTCCTAGAAGACTCCGTGGATCTGCTTTTTAATATTTCCAAACCCTTCCCAGAGCAGGAAACCACAACTCACACTTGCATTCCGGAATGTATCTTTACCTCAAAAGCCCTTTGTGCAAATCTTTGATATTTGACTTTAAAGTTTTACTGGATACAGAGAACTCATGCTGGAAATTCTAGAGATTGTCTAAAAGATCTGAAGCCTCCCAAGAAAATTCACATATTCAAGTTAAGGAAAATGTGGCCCCTTAGGCAAAAATTAAGGCAAAATTCCTTAATAAGCACGTTCTTCATTCTCCAGACATCCTCCACCCCATTCCTACTGTTCTAAATCTTCTATAATTAACAGCAGCCACCCTGTATTCAGAACCAATTAGTACAGATGCCAATCTAAGAATGTCAAGTATTTAATCTTCCCAACAAATTTATGAGCCTTATGAGAGGTTACAGGAGTTGCCTCAGGACCCCTGGTGAGTGTGGAGTCCAGGACTCAAGTTCAGGTGTGACTCCAAGCTGTCCCCCTCACCCAGGGATGTCCAGCCTTTTTCTTCTCTACAGCACATTGGAAGAATAAGAGTTATCTTGAGCCATACATTAAATACACAGACACTAACAAAAGATGATGAGCAAAAAAATAAAAAAGATCTGTGCATAGTTTTCACTATATCTGACACCACAGATTAGCACAAAAATGTCCACACCAAATCAGCATGCTGCCAGCCGGCCCCAGGTTAGACGCCCCTACTCCTTGTACAATATCACATTAGCACAAAATACTGTCTTCTTTCCTGAAAAAGTGCTTCTCCAAGCAGAATCCTGCAGATCAATACCACAGCAAAAGGCCCTCTTTGCTAGGTCAGCATGTTTTTGCCACAACAGGGATAGGAAACGAGAAAGGTAAAAAAAATGCAGGTTCAGAAGAAAGCTGTCACCTTTGACCTCTTTCCTACTGTTAGAGGTCAGAAGAACAGTCTTGGGGACAAACGGAGGGTCTGTGACCACTTTCCCATTCGTATCTTTCCATCCCCAACTGGGAAGAAGAGTTGGCGGGCGTGACAAGTCTCCCCTGGGAAGAGAGGGCTGCCAGGGGGCGTCTGCGCTGCTCCAGGGTCTGTGCTCGGCGTCTCCTGCCTCGCCTCTTCCTCTGGTCAGTGAGTCATGAAATGAGGACAAGGCTCTGGGGAGGCCCATGCCACAACTGTACAGCCACGGACCAGAAATGACAACAGACACAGGTGCTTGGTCATGTCTCGCCCATGGCCTCTGCTCTCCCACATACCATGAGTGTCATCTTCCCAACTCAGGGGAGCAGGAGGCTGGCCACGTGGAGTACAAAACTGGCACATTGGTCAGAGCCAGCACAACCCGCTGCTGAAGACTCAATAGCAGCTCTTAGCCGCTGGAATTTGTGCAAAGCCTCAAAATATTTTACCTTTGCTGAACTTTCAAACTGGAATCCTTCATTGCCCTTGAGAGCACAGCTGGCACAAGAAACCCAGTTCTTACCCCACTCGTTTCATGAGGCCTAGTTTTAAAAACATTATTAATGATCAAGGGATTCTAAACAGAATCCCCCTGCCAAGAGTTATCTGGCAAAGGAGATTTATTCCATCTCCTGAAACACAGGGATCAGAAATCAGTTCCAATCTTCACTTGTGCTAAACTTTTCACTTACTCACTTAAGGGAAACATTGTAACTTTGCCAAATCAGAGTTGTTCAAATGAAATCTCAGCACCAGGTTTCTGAGACACTTACCCTGGGTGTTAGAGCCGATGTCGTCTTCCACTCCTACCACGTACCTTCCACGACCCAGGGACGGAGTGTGGCTGGACACAGGGTGAGTCGGGGCAACAGCTTCTCCTTCCGGATGGGCTGGATGAAGACTCCTTTCTGAGGGCGTGACCCTGGCATCTGGGTAGGGTGGTGGGACAGCCCAGGAAGGGGCCTGGGACTCGGTGTCTACCTGGGGCGGAGTCAGGCTTCTGCTCCCCACCTGGTCTGGAGACTCAATTTGGCCTTTTAAGTCGGGTGCTTCTACTTCCTCCAAAGATGCCCCCTCTTTGGTCTGAGGGTCTGAGGTGGCAGGCTCTCTTTCAGGGTAGTGTAACCGGTCACTGGGTGTTGGGTGCGGCAAAGGGGAGGCCAGTTCAGGCTGTGCAGGGGAGCTCTCCGGGTGGAAGGCCACGTGAACACTGCTGTGGCCGTTGGCTGCCTGCTCTGGCCCCCCGGGGGGGTACTCTACTTCCTCCTCATTCTCATCGTAATAATCCAAATTGTCCTCTGTGTAGTCACCCTCCAGGGCTGCAGCTGGGCTGAAGGATTGCTGCAAAGGAGCTGAGGCGTGGGCCGCGGGAAGGTCTCCACCGGCTGCCGCTGGCCTCACGTTGTCCAGCGGGGAGATGCTACCAATGTGAAAAGCCCACACTCCAGGCACACCCAGGTTGCTCAGCCTAAATGGAAAGAGAACAGCACCTGTGACAAAGTGGCCACTCACCCACCGTTCTGCAAAGGTGAGCAATGGATTAATAACTGAAAAACTGTTAAGAGCAGATTCAGAGCTCACCCTGGTGGGTTACACCAAATACAGGCAGACACATTGGTAACTAAAAGGATCACAGTGGACTTTTGATGTAGACCACCTCTAATTTAACATTATGTCTCCAAAAGAAAAAAGATTTTATAAAAGCCAAAAAAGAGAAAATTAATAAATAAATAACATGACATTTCAAAGGCTGTGCACCACAGAATGCCAGACCACTGAGTTATCCCTCTGCCCTACAGTCTGAAGAGTTTATCTAACATCTGGCTAATTGAAAACAAATAGGGAGCGTGGGAAGTTTTCCTCTACATGTAGGGAAACTTGTTACCGACTCAAGAAAATGCCTGCTTAAAAATCCTTGCCAAATACTGAAACGGTAATGACTACTACATGGTTGTGAGAGTTGGTTACGCCCCAGCCCTGTGCCAAGCACTGACTGCTCTTCTACACAATCTGCAAACAAGGGGTGGTGATGGCACCCGAGTTTACAGGAGAAAATAGATTTAGAGAGATTAACTAGTCTTACGATCATATAACCAGTAATCGGCAGAGCCTGGACCCCAACTCAGAGCTAACACCAAAGGCCGCGCTCTAAACATCTCTGTTACATTGTATCAGAAAACCAAGACCACTCGTGACAATTGGCACCTGGATTCCCTTAACTTTATGGAATACTCAATTTCACTGTTTATTCACACGGGCTAATCAATCAACTAATGACAGAGAATGGTGAGTCAATGTAGAAAAATTCAGAGAAATAGAAATGCCCAAGTTTAAAAATAAATGAGCAAAAAAGACATATACAATAATAGGGTACATTCTGAGAAATGCCTTGTCAGGCAATTCCATTGCTGTGTGAACGTGATGAGGTGCTCTCACGCACACTGAGATGGCCTGGCCTACTGCGCACCTGGGCCATACGGCTTGGCCTACTGCACCCCTGGGCCACATGGCCTGGCCTACTGTACACCTGGCCGTAGGGCCTGGCCTACTGCATGCCTGGGCTACACACCTGCACAGCGTGCTCCTGTGCTGAATACTGCAGGCAATTATAACACAGCAGTAAGTATCTATGCATCTAAATACAGAAAAGGTACAGTAAAAATATGGTATTATAACGTTATGGGACCACTGTCATATATGTGATCTGTCATTGACCAAGTCTTTGTGTGGCCTATGACTGCAAAGGGATAGTAATGATATGAAAAGGCATTCAGTTTTGCTAGTATGAAATTAAAGACGTGAACACTTTATAGTATTCAATTTGCAAATGTTAAAAAGAACAGACGCCTATAGGAAATGACTGTCAATCACAGCTGTAAATTATTGGTGAGAATATAATTCAGTGAAACATTTCTGAAAGAAATTTGTTAATATACATAAAACATTAAACCACATATATCCGTTTGCAACAATTCCACTTTGAAGAACTTATTTAAAAGAGAACTGAGAATGAGAGCAGTGTGTATTATGCCATTTACTGCAATGATATTTATAACATGAAAAACCAGAAACATGTTAAATCTTTAAGTTGTCTTTATAATACAGAATATATATTATATGATGCTTTGTAGACTTAAGATGGTAATAAAGACAGACATCGACCGAAAGAAAGCAATAAATGTGAAAATGCCACATGTGTAGCAAAAGAACCATTTCGGTTTAAGAAAGATTTTGCAGGCCAGGCACAGAGGCTTTCACCTGTCATCCTAACACTCTAGGACACCGACACAGGAGGATCCCTTGAGCTCAGGAGTTTCAGACCAACCTGGACAAGAGCAAGACCCTATCTCTACCAAAAATAGAAAAATTATCTGGACATGGTGGTGGGCACCTATAGTCCCAGCTACATGGGAGACTGAGGGAGAAGGATCATTTGAGCCCAGGAGTGCGAGGTTGCTGTGCGCTATGATGACACCACAGCACTCAACCCAGGGTGACAGAGTGAGACTCTGTCTCAAAAACAAAACAAGTTTTTGCATATACCTACAATTCTAGAAGGACCGTTAATACTAGCTCTCACTTGAACTCAATAATTTTTACTTTTATTTCACATTATTCTGCTTTGCTTATACCTTACTTTTTATATTAAGCATGGATTACATTAACGAAAATTGTGTCAGTCCTCTGGCCTCATAGTTCACTTTACCCTCATCAAAAACTCAGAGGTTTCTGAGAAGTGTCAACGATAAAGACAAGGCAAGGCACAAAGGAGGGTGAAGGGAAGTGCTGTGTGCGTGTGTGTGTGTGCTGTGTGGGTGTGTGTGTGTGCTGTGTGTGTGTGTGTGTGTGCTGTGTGGGTGTGTGTGTGCTGTGTGGGTGTGGGTGTGGTATGTGTGTGCACATGGACAGTGTGCCTGTGGGTATGGTGTGTGTGTGTGTGTGCACATGGGCATGGTGTGCATGTGGGTGTGGGGTGTGTGTGTGTGTGTGCTATGTGCATGTGGGTATGGTATGTGTGTGCACGTGGGCATGGTGTGCATGTGGGTGTGGGGTGTGTGTGTGTGTGTGCTATGTGCATGTGGGTATGGTATGCGTGTGCACGTGGGCATGGTGTGCATGTAGGTGTGGGGTGTGTGTGTGTGTGCTATGTGCATGTGGGTATGGTATGTGCGTGCACGTGGGCATGGTGTGCATGTGGGTGTGGGGTGTGTGTGTGTGTGTGCTATGTGCATGTGGGCAGTGCACATGTGGGTGTGGTAGTTGTATGCATGTGGGTGTGGTATATGTGCAGTGTATGTGTACATGTGGGTGTGGTGTGCTGTGTGCGTGTGGTGTTTGTGAGCATGGTGTATGTGGTATGTACGTGTATGTGTGGGTGTTGGCTCTAAGCTGTCTTTACGCTCTGGTGGGAGATCGTGGCTGCTTCCCCACCTCACTCCCTGGGCTTCTGGGCTCACTCCCCCCGGACCCTGTGTACAGCAGCACCCACTCCATGCTCCGTATTTGCTGACCTGTTTGTCTGCCTGCCCCACCAGGGTTCAAGGTGTGCAGGGCGCTGTCCCAATGCCAGGCCTGCTGGGAGCCCTCTGTAATGCCCAGCAGGAGAGAACAGGGAGCAGCCACAGAAGACTGAGCCAGGAGCTGAGTCTGCTCCCAGCTAACCAGGCAGCAGCCCACGTGGAGACCTACAGGGACCCAGCGTGAAATTACTAGTTCAGAGCTCCAGAACCGGGCTTAGGTTTTGGCTTTGTCACTTAACTTTGAGATCATAGACAATTTACTTAACAAAGTTCCTCTGCAAACTCAAGTAAACAGTAGTAGTACTTCTTACAATTCTTGTGAGTTTTAATGAAGGTAACATCTGGAAAGCGTTTAGCACAATGCTTGGCATAGCGTGAGTTTTCCATAAACGTCAGCTCTGAGTGACCATACCTGGCCGGAGCGCCCTCCAGAGCAAAGCAGGTGGTGTGCGGCAGTGTCAGGTGCTCCTACACCCGGACTGCGTTAATGGAACTGACTGAGGAGCAGTTAAGGAAGGCCAGGGAGTGGCCTGGCTGACTTCTGAGGCAGGGAAGGAGCAAATGCAAGGAAAACAACAAAAGAACCCCTAAGCCCCAAGCCCTAGAGTTCATAAAGACCCTCTTGGCACTTAGTGGACTGACAGAATACCACCGGGCTTGTTATTGCGAGAGCCGTGAAGTCACTGATGAGACTAAGAATCGAATAGGTTCAATTCATTTCAGGTAACGAGTCACAGAGAAATCCTGAGACTTCTGAAAACTTGCCAACTTGTTTATTTCTTTCTTTTCCCAAATTACATTACCCGATTTAATTTTTAACAGTATCTTTCCAAAAGACTAAATCACAGTGTCTCCTCCTAGGAAATGATTAATCTGTTAAACCTTAAAACGGGCAGTTATATTACTGGATATTTTTATGTGGTTCCAGGAGCTCTGTTTTTCATAGCAAGCCTGGCTGGCTCTACAGATACACACATGCACTGTTCTGGTGAACTTGACCCTCCCAGGCTCTGATCCAGTTCCTGGTTTTGACCTGATATCTTGCTTGGAAGTCACTGAGACTTTATCTAATGGTCTTACGGCCACTTGTGTTGCGGTACCTCCTGCAAGTTGCTATATTCAAGTAGGAAGGGGCTTCAGCTGCACGTTACTCACTGGTAGAGGTTTTTCACAGTCTGTTCAGTGCTAGTCAAGCTGAAACATGGTCCTTCTCTCTTTAGGTCATCGGCCTCCCCTCGGCAGAAGCCCACCCGAGCTGGAAGCTGGAGCTGCACGTTGTAAGACTCTTTGGGGCGTGTCCCAAAGAACTGCAGGCCATCAGCAGGATAAAGAAAGAGGGCGTAGGTGTCAGACCCATCAGAGGCCAAAACTGCCTGGAAAGTGTTCAGCTGTGAGGAAAAAAACAGGAAAACATCCTTTAAAAAAGCAAAAAAAAGAAAGAAAGAAAGCCAAATGAAAGAATTAAAAGCCAGAAGGAAAACAAAGCATCGTAAAATGCAAAGGATTTCCCCCTTCCCGGGATTTTTTCAGATTGTTTTTAAACATAACCTTTAAAATTTTCTCTTCAAGTTACAAATACAATTTTAAAAGTGTTATTACTTATTATCCCAGGCATCTTTTATCAATTTTATTTATTCATTCATTTATTTATTTATTTTTATTAAATCATAGCTGTGTACATTAATGCATTTGTGGGGTTTTGTGCTGGTTTTATACACAATTTGAAATACTTTTATCAAACTGCTTACCATAGCCTTCACCACACTTTCTTAATTATGGTGTTTAGGCATTTATACTCTACACTTAGTAGATTTGCCATGTACCCTTGTAAAATGCACCATAGGTGTGGTCCCACCAATTACCCTCCTTCCACTCACTTTTACCAATTTTAGATTAATAGTTGAAATAGGCATAGGTACAACATAGGCTAACAAAATAAAAATGTTTTTTAAAGTTTCAAATGTCTCCCATCCAAACCTCTTTCAGAGCTAAGAACAAATAGCAAAACAAACTTGCTGATTCCCATTCACCCCAGGCACTCAGCACCTCTCCTCAAGTCATTCATTCATTCATCTGTTTATTACACCCCCTCTGGGGGCGGGCACCTCCTCCCTGTGCTCAGGGCCTTGCTCTCTCTTCTGTCCACTACTGGAGTCTACACCAGCGGCTGAGCCGCCTCAGTTCACTTTTCTGTCCTTTACTGGAGTCTACACC